CAAACAAATGATCATTTTATAAATAAAAATACGAATAGTTTCTCCTGTAAAAAGCTCAAATTTGGTGAAAGAAAAGTGCCTACAATACCATCGCTAATACAGATCGTCGATTAACTCGAGTGCTGCACTGTACGCAGGTTCCTATCAGCTCAATTGAACGTATTGCTCAACCGAGTTAGAAACGATTCTTTATACATTCGTTAGACATACAAATAGAGTGTCAACTGCGTTCTTTGTGATTGTCTGCTTCCAATCTGAACATTGGTGCAATCATCCGAAACCTGGCCAACTGAACTGAACTAACAGTCCACTTTGAATGGGTTAATCTCATTGTAATGCGATCGTCCTCTGACAAAGAGCACGATTCAGCAGTTCAACGACAAACAAACAATGCCTAAAATATTTGTGACCGCTCTTTGTTCTGATTTAATACACTACTGAAATGAAATAACGGACAATATTGGAGATTCAGAAACTAAAGCACAAAATGGTACCAAAATATATAGACATAAACATAAACTTGTTTTTGCGCATAGTAATCTTAATATTATCTCTAGCCTAGTAATGCATTTATTGACCTTTTAAGATTTGATACATACGGGAACACAGAATTTTGATTATTCATACCTATAGACCGGTTATTAAATTCAGCGTGTGGGTCTATTATAATAATATGTAATTATTATTATGAAAATTTTTAACAAAATAAACGTTATGAATATTTTTCTACCTATAGCTAATAATATAGATATAAAAATAATAATAATAAGAGTAACAGAATGAACGTTAAAGTTAGTAGTTTTCTTTTTTTATTGTTTCACAACGCAAAAGTTCCTTTCTAAAGCTTGGATTTCAATCACGACATGTAAAAATAATACACGCTTAACCAAAGGACAATGGGCAAAACGCACCCAGCTCCGCCAACAATGTAATTAGTATGAATCGATAGATCTATGAAAAACTAGCCTTTTTTATTATGGCACCAAAAAAAAATAACCTGGGGGTCAAAAGATATACACCTGGGTATGTTCTATATTAGGGGTTAAGGTTTCCGCACATAGTCCTTATAGACGACCTTTGTGTGTAAGTCATGGGGACCGGTTACACACGGGCATATTTAAATAGCTCCTTATATAGAAGCTCGATGGCGCAGGTGGTTAGTGGTTCGGTTGCGATCGTTGAAGTTAAGCAACTTCCGCAGTGGTCGGTCATTGGATGGGTGACCAAAAACATCTATCTCGAGTTCCTCCGTGCTTCGGAAGGCACGTTAAGCCGTTGGTCCCGGCTGCATCTGCAGTCGTTAGCACCCGCCAATCCGCACTGGGCCCGCGTGGTGGGTCATGGCCCAATCTCCCTATTTCATCCATAGGGAAGGCCTGTGCCCCAGCAGTGGGGACATTAATAGGCTGATGATGATGATATTTAAATAGCTAAAGAAATTCATTCAATATCAATAGTACTTTCGTTTTATAATATTAGCAATAATAAGTGAGTGAATCATATCTTACTGTACAACCAGATACAAAATACTAAACAACAAAGCCTACCGACTATCCTGCTTGCTTGCTGCTTGCACTTACTGAGACTCCTCAAAACGTCTAACAGGGTATGGGGGTTGAAGGATGTGATATTGCAGTTGCCGTTGCAACTAGTCTACTCGTATGCAGTCCTATGTCTTACATTTTGTGCGCTCCCTGTTATTTCATTGATATTTAACTAACACGCTTTAGAAATAGGAACACGATTATCATCGCGTACGTCATTATAATCGTACGAGCTAATAAAAAATCTATGGATAAATTTAAATGCTCGTACTCAGCACACAAACATCTGCCCCCACCAGGATTCGATCCCGGGACCTCTCGAGCCAGCGACACCATGAAACCCGGTGTACAAACCACTCGACTCGGATATATTAATTGACGACCTCCGTGTTCGTGTCCTTTATTGAAATAGTCTAGGACACTAGGGGATACTTTGACGGAAATTCACTCCATTTAAAAAAATAATTTCATTAAAAAAATGTATAGTAGTGATAACAGATGGCGCTGAAAAACTTCTATATCACAACAGGGTTGAAACTTCTTTAACAAAAACCCCACACTATGTAAACTAGCGTTGCTCAACCATTGGGTTGGTATATATCGAGAGAGCTTTTACGGAGAGCAAAAATAAGTAAATAATTAGAAATATAAGCACAGTAAGTATATATATATAAAAGGTATCCCTTAAAAATCCTTGATAACATAACTAAAAGCAAACGAGTGTTATTAATGCAACAACAAGAAATCATTAAGCTGCAAGTGCATCTAGTAACTGTAGCCATTCTTAGATTAAACCACAAAACAGTAATAAAAGTGATAAGAAAGTGTCTTGCAGTGTTAAGTTTTTTAATACTGGAGGTGGACTACCACTGGTCACATTCTCACTATTCACTCGACTAATACTAATCAACTTCCATATTTTGCAAACAGAATTACACTGAAACCTATGTATGGAAGAGTAAATGCCTAAAATTTGTTATCAGTAAGTACGAACTGGAGGACGTTCAAATATACTTATCCGTTTTAGAGAATGCATTTCGCAACTGTTTTGCCATACAGAACAAAGGCCTAAGCACGAATTTTTGACAGTTCCATAACGTATCGTCAGCGTCAAATTTCTAAAAAAGGATAAACCATTATAAATGGGGTTTAAATCCATTACATATAATCTGCCATATTAGAAAATTGCCAAAATTGGTAACTCATTATAAGAATGTTCAGCAGGCGGTTTTTAATATCATTCAATTGAAAAAGTTAAATTGAGGGGGAATAAAACAATTCGTTGGTTAATTATTTCTTAATAGCGACGCGACAGTGGCGCCCACTCCTCCGATTTCTCCACAGTACGTCATTATTGTATTGCATACATTAAGTTGGTAATAGTACAGTCAATCTGTCGAAAAAAATATCGTTTCAGTGAAAAAAAAACCTAAAGGGTAAGTCTTGTTTTTGCTGTTGCCAAATGACGTCAGTAAGCCACCTTGGCGATGGGCATGTTCAACTCGTAGGCGTTTTTTGAAAAACTCAAAAAAACCGTCAAAAATTTTTTGACACGCATTTTTCTTGTTTTGTATGCATTTTAGAAACATTTTTTTCGACCATAATTGTAGAGGGCGTTGAGTACTACAATTTATGTCATTGTTGCAATCTCGTACAACAAAAAATGCGCATTATAGGTGGCGCTAAAGTCTCAAAAAAGTGTTTTTTCACTTTTTCACCCTGAAAATATCATTTTCAGGGTGAAAAAGTGAAAAAACACTTTTTTGAGACATTCAGACGATTGCACTACTTATCTGTCTCTAAAGCATAATGCGCCTCTGTTTTAGGATTCCGTACTCCGTTTTTTTACTTATAGATAAAGAACTATTAAATAGAACCTTTAAGCGAGTTCAAATCACACAGCTGATTTTTTAGTACTTACTTAGATATAACAGAGCATCAGTGACTCTATCACCACTTAACATCGAGTGTGGAAGAGTCATTTGCCGACATAACCATAAAAAAAATCACCAGAATTTGCTTACTTACATAAAGACAGTGACTTTTTTAAGGAAGTAAAAATCAACTCAATATTTTCAAAAAACTTCCTTAAAGTTTAAAAATAGCATTAGTGAAAGTTGTGAAGGACAATTTTTTCATCGTATTTAAGCTTTTCTACTTCATATAGGTAATAATATAGGTAGTATATATAATAGTAGGTAGGTAGTGATCAAGATAAAAAAAATCACTGCAATCACTCAATAGCAGCAAAACATAGAGCATTCGTCTTGCTCTTGTTGCAAAATCAAAAAAAAATATATAGAGTCGAAAGTAATCTAACTCGACCTAACTTTTTATTATGTACTTACGATACGTATGTTATCTGCAGTCAAATATTTATTTTCTATCTTATCAACAAAAAAAACTAAGTGACTTTCAATTTGAGTAAAAAGCGCGCTCTCGAAATTTTTAAGTTAAATTTTTATCACATTCATTTTATAATTATTTGATCGACGGCACGGTCGTGCTCTATCTACAATGATATTGTTTATTATCAAATTAACTGACTCATGCTGCAATATTTAACAACTAAGTTCTTATAGTAATTCTGCTAACATAATTGTGGCAATATTAAGAAAGAAACCTTTTTCATAATTACTTTATATGAATGAATTACCTGTATATAAAACAACTGAATAAAAATATTTCAACTCAAAACATATCAAATGATTATAAGATTTTTATTATGTGAAATCACAACAATGATTTTCAACAAAATTTAAATGTATTATGGTATGAGGAAGAACAAAAATTGTTTTCACTACGCAAAAATACAATGTAAATAAAATGCGAATGAATCATAATTCGTATGTACATAACAACTTACAACCAATTAATCACATAAATATTATAAGGCAAAAGTTTGTGAGGTATGTTTGTTACTTCTTCACGTCTAAACGGCTGGAGCGATTTTAATAAAATTTGTAATGGAGTTAGCTGACACTCTGAAAACACGTAGTCTATGTTTTATTGCGGGGAAATATCCCTAATAAGCCACGGGTAACACCATGGGGGCACAGTTAGTATAAGTATATCCCTGCCATGGAAAAGACCAGTAGCAATAGGGTTATAGTAATTTATGATGGAATTCCAGGACCATGTTCTAGAATCTAAAGAATCCATACAAATTCTTAATACCTTTTACACAAAATGTTATCTAAGTTTGTAATCCTGTTGATTACATTACAGATTATCTATCTATCGGGTATTATGATTACTATCTAATTACGTTAATTTTGAGGTAGACATATGAATTTCACTTCTATCAAGTTTCTTGAAAAGTGATGTCAAATACAAGGCCACAAAGTCACAACTACTGATTTTGCAAATATATTTGTGTATTGGTATATGCGAAAGTGATTAAATGACGGAAAGATCAAGGTCTGACCGCTTTGTTATACAACAACTGACTGTTACCTGTTTCTGAGTTTTGTCCGGTAATATGATAGACAACTCGAAAGCGCGATTCTTCTTGTCGCGGTTACCGGTGCGCATCAGCTTGGAGGAGGTTCTCGTAATGCTATGAGCCTTTTCCGGCAGCTTCAACGCCACTATTGACATGCTGCGTGACAGCCGCCGGCCCAGCTTGCGCGTCCGCAGCGACATGGACCCGCTGAGGCCACGCTTGCGACCTTCCATCGCTGAACCCTCCGCCTCCGCGCCTCCAACCTCCTCACTAGTACCGGCCATCGCACTATCCAAATAACACCAACTTAAAACTTGACAACATTCACATCTCCAACATAATCGTGTCACAGCACAAACACTTAGAAAGTTCTCTGTCACTGAGTCATTTCACACGGATGTCTACACAAAGACGAGTGCACTTTTTGATAGTTTCAATCGGTAAACATCGTGACTGCTCTCTGTTGTCGGAGATCAGACGGGTACAATGCGGATCATATGGTCGCGGGGCCGGTTCGGATCCTGCGACCGTTTCGGTCGGCAAAAAGCCCAACACGATGATTGCAAAGGTTTATATCGTATATACTTTAAGTGATAGTCGATTATGTAGCTAGAGCGAGTGTCGTGTTCGAATATGGCGCGTTATCGAGCGTGGAATTGCCGGCGATGCGGGCCGCGACGTGCGCGCGTGCGATCGCGGTCGGAGCGACTAGCGCCCGAGAGCCCGAGACAAACGAAGGAGGCAGGCCGGCCGCCAGCCGCCCCCGCCGCACAAGCTCTAATCAAATTACTTATCAAACCGTATTGTAGCTTAAACCCTGAGACTGCAGCGTAACACAATCGTTACAATCAAACGGTGCCTGCAAATGCTCTAAAGTTGATTACATCTAAATCAGAAATTCAAAATACAGTATCACAAGACGCTAAGCATACGACAAACATGAAAAATCTGGAACTGAGACCTTTAGTGGAACTGTGTGTTTATTATGAGGTTTTCCTTTTTAAAACCTTTGTCCTCTCTGAAATTTAATTCCTGCAAAGGCTGATATACGATGTCTAACAACCACGCGTAGGTAGGTAGAGCTGGCTGGTTACAGGTCAATAGATCTCAAGGTGATCGTGTTTCTAAATAAGACAACGTGTACAGGATTATACCTAGGTATTGTTGAACCTTACATAACAGTACGAGTATAAATGGCAAATCCTGAATTAACTTTCAAGGATTTCGTTACTTATCTTGTTTTTTTTCGTCGATTTTAGAGTTACTGAAAGGTCTTTACACAAACAAAGAGCTATTTTCAGGTTAATTTCTTTTAAAGTTAATGTATGTGTAACAACTAACTAAACCACTAAATATGTGTTTCCGTTTATGTAGATTTCGTAACTTCTGAGTTAGTCTGTTTTTACTAATGGTCATCCATCAGCATTTGACTTAATTTATCGCTTAGTGTAACTAATGAAAATCACCGAACCTTCCAAACACCAAATTAATTACTGCTAGGTGAGGGCTTGGCATTCAATTAGGGAGTATTTTACCACACCCTACGATATAAAACTTTGTTATTAGCGTTTCAAATTATTATAGTACTCAATTCAGAGTAAAATTATATTCGCTGCACAAAATCACATGTTTATTAAAAAAATGGATTTCACACTTTTGCACTTATGTTACTTTACTGTGTGCTGGTTTCCTTTGTATTTCCTCATTATGATATTAGTACCTATATTAAATTTACCAACATTGTATGATATATCACTGTTGGTACCATACAATGTTGGTATATTTATTATACATTTTTTTTTACATAACAACAACACCAAAAAAAATATGTAGTGCTGTATCCAGAATATTATTAAAATGAAACATTTGTTTTTGTGTGACCTTGTTACAAATAAATATAATTTGTATATGTACATAAATCATAATGAGGAAATACAAATTTTGAATAATAACACTGCTGACTGCAGTTTCACCAGTCAGGTAGATTGTAAAATCAATTCGGTTTTGTTTAAATATCTCATTTTTCTTCGCAACGTTTTTAAAAAACATCGTAAGAACCTTCTACAAAGCTACAAAGTGTCCATTTTACAAGACATTTAAATATAGGTGTAAAATGTATGATTTTTTTTTAAACTAGAAAAAAAAATATCTTTCGCTTTCAGTTGTTCAGTTACAGAGTTTATAATGACAATCTAGCAAAGTATGTCATATAAAGAAACAATTTCACATTTTCGCTGAGTCAACATTTTGTGGGTTAATAATAAGAAACGGCACCAATATCTCACGATATCACTAAGAGGACAAAACTGGTCTTTCAACTTTTGTTGATTTTGGTTTAAATAAGTAATTTGAAAACGTTAATATCTAATTTCTTCTTCGTCACAAGATGGACAAGGTGGGTTGTTGGGAATATTTTTACTGCAATATTTTTTAACATTAGGATTTTTGCTTTTGGAGCATTAATTTAAAAATAACAAAGTAAAAATCTCACGGATTGCTTTAATGAATCTGAGTTATCAATTTGATTTTTTTTTCATAGCAAACACTCAAACACATAAACAATAAATTAACGGAAATATTTCCAAAGAAGTATTACCCAATCAAAAAGTATTAGTGACGTGCTGGCAAGTTGCATTTGACATTAGATCGCTTTTTGATTCGGTATCGTAAAGTTAACCAAGGCAAGGAAGTTATATACCTAAACAATGAATCTAATTTGTACTTACGCAAGCTATTCATAGCAAGATATACTTAGGTATTGTTATAAATAAAGACAAAGCCTTAAACTAGGCTTCATTCAGCTTTTTTTTTTTTAATAGTTTAACGGCCTTGGATGAAATCCATACAGCCAATTCTTCATTATTAATTCATTCAGCATTAAAGACTGCACTGACATAAAGCTAAAAAGACATCAATGACAGACGTTAACATTACCAAAGAGATTATAATAATACATTAATGTTAAATATCAAAGAGTGACAGAGATTAATACATCATTCACCGCTCCAGATAAAAATATTGATGGCCTAATAAATAACTATGTACTATAATACTATAGCTAAAAAAAAGAATCAACCCGTAAACAAAATTTGACTTTGTTATATTTTTAGTTTAAGCATTTAACTCTAAGGTGTATAGTATTAATCTAAAGATAATTTTAATAGAACAAAGTCCACTGTGTGTGGCTTTTTTTTAAGTACAAATTTCTTGAGATTTTATTTAGACCTTTGGATTTTAACAATGTGAGTATCGATATCGTCTAGATTTTTAAGCTTGCATAAAAATTACGGTTTCACACAAGATACATTTAAAAACAGTTTTAGATACATACTCAGGGCATATGATGAATGATCAAAAAGTTCGCTGAATGACGGGAAAGATTTTTTTATCGGGTGACTATGTTAGCTTACAGTGTATACAATGTAGCCCATGTGAGGTTCAATTGTACTCACTTCCTATATCATTATCAGTAATATAGGTACGCACTTAGGATAGAACCATATGTTTTTCCTGACACACAATGCAAGGGGGGAGGTTGCCAAAAGATAATAAATTAAATTATTTTTCCTTTTCAAAAAAAAAATCTCCCTTTCACCTTATAGATTTTTCAGATTTTTCAAACAACATTTATACTTTCGCAAAAAAAAATGTTATATCAAGCCCCCGAAAACAGATAGAAATTGCATACTTCACTTGTTCGTCACAAGCAATTTTTTATTTAAAGCTCTTTGTTCATTTTTGGAACTACACAACTTTCAAAAAAAATTGTTACGACATCTACATTATAGGTTTTATACTTTTATTTTATTAAAAAAAAGTTATGGTCATCCTTTTAGAAAAGAATTAAAGGTCTCTGTTCCATATCTCTCACTCATCCCATTTCATCGGTAAAACAACTCAGACATAGTTATATATATAGTATGTCTATGGGTACGAGACTCCGAAGCTTCTTTTTGTAAAATTTTCAAAAATCAATTAAATGTTTTGATATTCCCTACAGTTTTTAAGATAATTAAATTTACACATCGATATAAAACCAACTTTTCCCTATCGCTCCGTTGCAATCGGATAATATTTTAAGTACGCCATACTTACTTTTTTGGATCGTAAATTTTTTAACTAGTATGATGAAATAGTTTTTATTTTTTAAGGTGAATAATGAGTTACTTACCTAAGGTAAGTGACTTTGTTGGTTGCTTAAATTTGGCCTTTATTATTTCAGCAAACTTGTATCGCGCAACTCGAATAAGCAATAATTTCAACACGAAACTCGGTTATTGACGTGCGTATCGATAAGCGTTGCATTGAACACTTAGTGACAAGAAACGACTTAGACCCCAACAGTTGGCAGATATTTTTGCAACGCATCTGCGCTGGTACGGTCTATCTAGATAGTAAATAATGTTCAGCTTCAGCATAAAAGACTGCACTGACATAAATCATAAAAGACATGACTAACAGACGTTAACATTACCCAAAGAGATAAATAAATTATGTTAAAACTAAAGAATAATAGAGATTAACACATAAGGTATTTCTCCCCTTTTTGGTTTTAAGTAAAAATAAGATAACTATGTGAGTAAACTTTACTTTATGAGTTTAATTTAATCTCTTTCTTTGATACGAACAATAATGAAAGCTCATTCTTGTTCGGAGCATCAGAGAAAACCATAGAGAAAACACTATGTTTTGATTATTGATCATAGAGAAAATTTGTTTGATTTTGATCTCCTTTTGATCAATCAATCATGGAGTGACAAGAGATTTACTACAACTTCGTAAAATTTTTTATATCAGTATTTTACTTGGTGAAATTCACTAAAAATACCGCCACCTATTGTGCAAAATGGAGTAAGTGGTATTAATAAGTTCCTGTAACAAATTCTAAATTATTCTTAATATAAGTCTAAAACAAAACCTAATTCTGAGTCTAACACATACGCATAGTACAGTACAGGGTTTAGTTATCTCTTAAACTAGTCTAAGCTTATTCTACGTTTTAAGGGGGTAAGTGTGCGAGTCCGACTCACACGTGGCTGTTTATCTAATTCATTGCAGTCGTGTTCGTTATCCAATGATAGGCAAATATATTAATCTTAAGTAATAGTTAGATATTAAAATTAAGTGTTTTTTTTGTCCTAAATTTTATTAAAACAAAAGTTCATTGGCCATTGGTCATTACCGGAGATCTGTATAATCCGGCATTCTACACAATACCTAGGCAATGTATGAAATATTAATCATATTAAACTTTGCCTTGATATTCTATACAATACCGAATGCGCAGTCGGCAATGTGTGTAAAAGAAGAAAGTGAGTCGACTTTTCCGTGTATTATTTATCTATTAACTATAATTATTCATCTACAGTCCATCAAATTTAAGAAGTACCGTTTGACGTTTCATGTTTTTCAAACAGATATAACTTTGTTTAAGCGTAACTTATTCAAATTCGATAACCTTTTTCGTAAAACCATGAATTTATAAAGGTTTTATTATTGGATCTAAAAATGTAAATTCTTAATATCTAAATTTAATTGAAAACTTTCAAACAATGCAAAATAAACAATATTTACACAATAAATAAGTTCTAATAGTTCTATTCTTGACCTCATTGCAAAGTCACATAGTTAGGTCACTGCTCGTAGTGTTGCGACTCTTCGGAATCAATTGTGTACGAAAAAATCGTGTACATTATTCGGAAAATCGAATTTATTACTTTCAAATTATCAATTAACGACTTTGTAAAAATACATGACAGATGACAAAATGATCAAATTTGATGCCTCGGTCCATAATCTACTCAGATTACGATGTTGTAAGCGCTAGAAGCGCTTATGGCCAATGTCAGACCACGGCCAGAAAGCGAATTTTCGACGTAATGTTTAGGGGTAAAGCGCAATTTAATTTTTGTATAATTTCACGTTACTGCTCGATCGCATAATGCATTTAATACATAGGTACCCTAAAATAATTTAATTTAATTATTTTCAAACAAATCTATATAGGCGAAATAGCTCCAGAAAAAATTTTTTTTTTATCAGACAACACTGCCGACCACAATCGCACGCGGTCCCCCTCGCCCGCGTCAGTAGTCTCTCGCCATCTTGGAAGCTGACTGTGCGCGTACCTACTTTCTCGTTTGTGTTTTACAATTTGTGACTTGGCTATTACTTTTCTGGACTCTGAACTAAGCAAGTGTTTATTAATAATGTCGAAAAGAGGACGTACTTTGAACAGCCAGGCTCGTGAATTGGTGGTGAAATTACACGAGTATTTTGAGCGTGAATGTCAAAATGGTGGAGCTCTACTGCCAGTTACACAAGTTCGGGATCGCGTCGGTGAAGCTCTCGGTATTGGTAGCCGCACCGTCGGCAAAATATTAAGCGAAAAATATGGGCCTTCGGGGAGTGACAGTAACGTACTTCACACGCCGAAAAAAAGGAAAAGAACTAAACCTGTGACAGGTATCGATGACTTCGATAGCCATGCTATTAGAAACCATATCTATGGTTATTTTACAAGAGGCGAATTTCCAACATTGGCAAAGTTATGTGCAACTTTAGAAGATGCCGGGCTGTACAAGGGAAGCATAGAGTCGTTGAGAACGATAATAACAGGAATTGGCTTCAGATACAAAAAAGTTGACAAACGAAAAATTGTTATGGAGCGACATGACATAATTATGCAGCGACTAACATTCCTGCGCGAAGTAAAACAAATTATAAACTGGGATAATGTAATATTTTTGGACGAAACATGGCTAAATTCCAACCACTCTGTGCCGAAAACATGGACAGATGATTCTGAAGCTTCGTGCTCGAAAGTGCCGATAGGGAAAGGTGGACGCCTCATTATATGCCATGCTGGATCAGCGTCTGCAGGTTTCGTGGAAAATTCATTATTAGCTTTCCAATCTAAAAGCACAAAAGAGTATCATGAAGAAATGGACGCGGAAAGGTTCCAAGAGTGGTTCTTAAATTTACTAACGAATATCCCTCCTAACAGCACAATTATAATGGATAATGCCCCATACCACTCTGTGCAAATTGATAAAGCACCAACATCAGCCAATAAGAAAGCAGATTTGGTGGCATGGCTGCAAAGAAAAGGAGTGGAAGCCGACATGTCACTATTAAAAGCTGAATTGTTACATTTAGTGAAATTGCATAAACCATCAAGACCGACTTATGCTATTGACCAATTAGCCGAAGAATACGGGCACAAAGTCATACGACTTCCTTCGTACCATTGCCAATATAATGCCATTGAACTGATTTGGGCCCAAGTTAAAGGTATAATATAATAATATTTTTTTGTAGTTGATTATATTATTAACAGAAACTTGTTCTTAATAAGCTGAAATATATTGTGAATTGAGATTTTCCGTTAAGTACAGTAATACTATAAAACATTACCCTTCTTCTTCGCAGTTGTGTAAATTGTACATTACCTAACAAAATATTGCAAGATTAGCTTAACACATTTTGTAGCCACATAACACGAGTGCCTCTAGCTTTTATAATTTAAAAAATAGTCAAAGTCTCCCACCTAATAATTATATAATTGTTTTACAGGTTATGCAGCAAGACACAACACAAAACCACCCTTCAGTGTCAAGAAAATGGAAGGCTTATTAAAGGAAGCATGTGCGCAAGTTACACAAGAAAATTGGTCAAAAGTAGTAGAAAAAACAAAGAAAATAATAATGGACGACTTCGACAGAGACGTAAAATTCGATGATTTCATGGATAATCAACTAGTCATTAATTTAAATGACGATGATGACGAGGACGACAATGATTCCAGTACTTGCGGTGAATAAAAAAATATCCTAAACATTACTTTTATTTAAATGCTTCGATTTCGACCTTTAGAACCTTAAGATTTTTTCGGTATTCTATCCTCAGATTACTAGTAAAACCTAAATTTACCAATAAACAACCTTTTACAATAACTTATTAAGAGTACAGAGAAATATTATCTTAAATTTCGGATCTTATGGTCATTGATCTCTTAAAAATCGGATATTATAGTAATCGATCTCTTAAAAATATAGGAAAAGAGTACAGAGAAATATTATCTTAAATTTCGGATCTTATGGTCATTGATCTCTTAAAAATCGGATATTATAGTAATCGATCTCTTAAAATTCAGATATCATAGTAATCGAATTTTTAAAACCCATCCCTATTATTCAATTTGTCAGAACTGTCAAACGGTACTTCTTAGATTTGATGGACTGTAAGTATTCAACAATTTTCCACTCGCGCCGCCCCTGCCCCGTTACGGCAACGGCCGTGGCATCGGCCGCGGCATCGGCATGGCCCCTAGACCGGTGCTGGCGCCTGCGTTTTGTTTTTCAACTGCGCCGGTGCTGCCGGTGCCGTTTTACCCCCTGCTTACTGGCACAGACTTCTGCTTGACGTCACGGTATAAAATGGTCACGTCAATAAACAATTTACAAGAATAATAAATTTGTAAATCCTTTTTTTACGTAAGACACAAATACCAACGAAGTATCTCACATTTTAGTCTTTTTAATCTAAAGATACTAAAAGTGAAATACTTTAAAATGAAAACTAAAACATAATAACCCTTAAAAAATGTAACTAGGTTTTTTTATTAATTTTAAATCTAGCAGTTAAATACTTAAAATAAAAATGTAATGAAATAATAAACGCTATCTATATGATTTCGTGTTTAAAAGCTATGACACACAGAACTCAAAGCGAGCCAATAAGCAAATTTAAATAGGTACCTACCAGTCTTCGCGTCTTCATACCGGTCCCGCGCACTCACACGCACACAACTACAATTCACATGTAATACACATTACACATGCAGTTTTGCCGGCCAGCAGTGAGTGGGAAGCTTGCTATGCCGGAGCCAGCGACGGCACCGTTGGTAACAAACACGGGTGCCGGCAACGGTTAGTGAAAAAACAAGCCATACATTTTCTAAAATATTTGCTTCCCCGGCATCGACAAAAGCCGGGCCAGTGAGTAGAAAATCCCCTATTATCATCTATCAGGTCTGGTGGCTGGCCCTTCTCCAGCCCCTGCCGAGGCACAATCGCTTTGCTCGCTCGGCTCGCTCGGCTCGCGCTAAGTCATAACACTTGCCTAACCTAACCCACTGCGAGTTGGTCAAACGTTCATTGGCTGACGCAGACCGATGTCACCGCCGCAGTCGCGGACACACCGCCGCCTACACCACCTACGCCCACGCCAGCCGAGACCACACGCCTCCTGCTCCAGCTCTCGGACCTGCTCACGGACTTTGTCAAAAAGTTCGGGCAGGTCGAGAAGAAAATTTTCGCAACTACCCCCGATGAAGACTCCACCCCCGCCCGCTGAAGTCCGTCGCCCGCTCGCTGGTCGCTCACTGGGCCTCCCTCATGGGTCTCACCCGGTGGGCTTGACCGCGCCGAGGGCGACGCGTGAAGAAGCGGAGGCGGGGGTATAGCCCCATTGACCGTCTCGTCCGAGAACGAGACGCGAGCCCGAAACGTCCAAAATGGCTCACGAGACGACGAAAGAGGAAACGTTCATTGGTCTGCAGATCATTCGGAGAGTATTATGGTGAGAGTAACTGAGTAGGCTAGGTTAGATTTGGTTGAGATAAATACAGCCCAAAAACTGTTTATTATCCGATGGACCAGCAGTTACCCTATACAATCACTAGAAATTGTGTACATTATCTAGGCAAAGTATAAAATGTAAATCAATATTTCTAATATTTATTATAGGTAGGTATTGCGAAGAATACCTGAATTATACAGATTGCCGGTAACATATACACAATGTATAATTTTATGATAAAAAAACGTGATATTCTCTTATAACTCCAGAAACTCACAAACAATAGTGTTGTTTACTGCAATATCGTAAAAAAGTGGGCGTAATTTTGCGATTATGTTTCAACATTGTTGTCCAAAAGCAATCATATCATATTTCATTGAAATAGCTACGACTCAAAAATACTTTTGAAATAATCATTTATTTTTAACGTGATAAAAATATTTGAACTTTTTGTGAAAGAAATGTGTTTGTGTAAAAACTGTAGCGTAAAGTTATAAATTCAATACCAGTCCTCACCACACTGCAATGTAACCTTGCTAAATTTTCAAAATTACTAAATGATTTTATGCGACCAATAAGAGCCAAGTAAGATGTAATTTTCGCTTATCCTACCTCCTCCTACCAGGACCGTACTATTATAGTAAGGTAATCTGAACCAATAAAAGGTTTCCTTTGAGTTTTAAAATAACTGTTTAATGGTTATGAACCGTTTATTTTAGGAAGTCAGCAGAGCCCTCCCCTGAACCATCTTGCTGGAAGAAACACAAGGACTGGAAAAACCGTTACGCAAAACTATACGGCAACAAATGTCGTCCAAAGTGAGTTAAGTGATGTGATTGCATTTATAGGAATTTATTGTTATACACATATATTATTAGGATAATCAATTTAAATATATGATGATGTTATGATAAAATTTTCGCATAGATTTATACAGGGTTAATTTTAAAACAGCAACAACCTGTTAGGGGGTGATTCTACCCATCGAGGTTGTTGATGTTTTAAAATTAACCCTGTATTGGTTTACGCCACGCCGTGTTCTGTTACTCCTTTAATATCAATATTATATGACTACATGAGTAGGTAAATTTTTAAATACAATTATGTACTTAATCTATTTAAATCTTCTATATCCACCATGCTAATATTAGAACGTGAAAGTAAGTGTCTGTCTGTCTATTACGCTTTAATTGCTTAAACTGTTTCGAATTTGGTATAGAGAGAAAAACCTTGGAGTAGGCGACCTTTTGTAGAAAAAAACCGGATAAGCACGAGTCGGGCTCGCCCACCGAAGATTCCGTATAAATTTGGTACGCAGCATAAATGGCCGTATCTTTACAACGTTTACTTAGATTTTTTCGCAACTTCTTGGGACCGCAGACTTGAGTATGTAGTTTAAATTTCAACTCTACTTCCATGCGTTCCCTAAATAAAGGGTCTTGACGGACAGACAGAAAAAGGACCGTATCTTTTTTTAATTAATTTAGAAGTTTGATTTTTACACAGCTTCAAGGGAACGCAGACTAGTTTAAATTTTAACCCGATACCTCCACGCGTTCTCGTAATAAAGGGTCTTGAAAGACAGACATACAGACCGACAACAAGGTGATCTTATAAGGGTTTTTGTTTTTTGAGGTACGGACCTTGAAAACATTACGATTGTCCTCAATCGGATCAAACATTCTGCACAGATGTAACGGCAGCACGCATGTTGTTGTTTGGTTATCTTTCTTATTCATATTGCGTAAATAACATACAAAAAATGACCTTTACGTCGTCGCATTCGTAGAGATTCTTGTCGGTGCGAACCTAGAAAAAATATTGAAAATATCACTTTTCGGCACTATAGGTCTTTACTCATTACTCTGATGTATAATTATGTAATATGTAGTAAACGACTTTTTGCTGCCAAAATAATAAGAAAAAAAAGAAATATAGCATAGCCTCTGTTTGGGGAAGTGAACCCCTCCGTAGCTAAATAGTGGACAGATTACAGAAGACTACAATAATAATAATAATAATAATTTATTCTCAGACAATTCAAGTCCATAGAATGTTAGTAACAATGTACCTTAAAAACTATGTAATATATTTCATAAAGTCAATGATACTCAGAGAATAAGAAACCTTAATTTGCCTATACTATCAACTAATATCAGAATTATTACTAAGTATTTTTGTTTGAATACATACATAATAATGCCACCAACATATCGTCACTACCCAAATTCAAATAGAAAATTAGGAGGCTTACTATCTAGGCCAGCCACAAGTTATTAAACAACAGTGCGTATAATAATTGTACTGCTAAGTTTAGAAATTTCAGCAATAATTTTTGGTGTAAGTATTCAGTTTTACTTGTTGATATTATTTTTATGTCGTTTAATAATGTTTTTTTTTTATTTATTTATTTAAACATTATTGCACAAATAAGTGTAAGTAATAGTGACGGAATTAATGCCTTTAGGCATTTTCTATCAGTTATCAAGAGAATTAAAGCAAAGATCCTAAGAAGCTAGAGCAAATAGAATTCATCAAAAAATATTATAATAATGAAAGCATACCCACAGAAAGAAGATAATATATAAACATAATAATAATAATAGAACATACTATATAAATACATTTTTTTGTTTTTGTTATGTTTGTCTTTATTATATTTACATATTAATCTTTAAATAACAAAAGCTGAAAATTAATTAATGTCCAAAAACTTAAAAAGAATAAACTACTTAAATAATAAACAACCTACAAAATAAAATCTACAAATAAATACATTAACTATATAAATAATTATAAATATTTACATATATAGGTATATACATATAAATTAGTAGGATGCATAGGAGGAATCTAATAAATGAACGTCATCATTTAAAAGCTAGTTAGTTCGGATCTTGAATATGAGTAGGCAGTGCGTTCCAGAGTTGTATAGCTGGAAGAGATAATGAGTTAGAACCAAAACCAATATGGTAAGAGGGACTTTGAATATTTAGATAATATTCAAAGCTTTTTCTTACAAAAGACTCCTTAAGAATGTACAGCGGATAAACTTCGGATTTCAACGGAGTAGGGTAACATAAAAGAAGGAAAAAAATATGGAGGGCTCGGACAGTTTATTAATAAATATTATTTTCAGTTATCATTCAAACACCGAATAGTGAACATCGTTAGTACTGTGTAAACAAATGTTTTATTTCATTCACATAGACATACATTTTTATTTATTAACAAAAGAAGCGAACACTTTTTAATTTTTGATTATCGGAGCATTAAGAGTATGTTATTAGTGATACATTTTTCTATTATTAATAATACTGTCACATTCGACACATCATATACTAATAAGAGCAGAATCGGTTAGTTGTAATAATAATAATAATAATTAAACAAAATGGCCGCTTCAGCTAGGGGCAGTAATGGCAGCCGTTTATTAACTTTTCACGATTTATATTTAAACAGGCTTGTATTTAGGGTGGCAAGGGAATAATGTATATCATGGCGTTTGTAACACTTACTTTTAGTGTTTCTGTCGACGAGTACGATTCTCAGAGCTCCACGAGATAGGGTGTTGGTGAGGGTAGGCAACGCACGAGTGAAAGGGTAAAACCCGGAAAATAACCATATAAATACCGTAAAATAAGGTATAATTAATAACCATCGATAGATGATCATTGCAACACTAATTGAGAGGGCGCTCATGTATTAAAAAGAATTCTAACCGTAAAACTAAGCTTTTTATAAAAATAAAACAATTAATAACTCTTCTCCTGTAAAATTTAACGTATGGTAGATAGAACAAACAAGCACTGATAAGTGATTAAATACCTATGTTTTGTTGTTACACTATTCTTATTAAGTAAAGATTTTTACTTAATATGAGGTATAAGCATTTTCAAAGGTAAACAATCTTTTTCACTGTAGGTTTCAGTTATTTTTTACGAATGTTAGAACTTTTTTCCTTGTTAGTCACAATAGTAAATTATTCAGTAGCGTCGGTTGTTCGTGATAGTTGTCAAGGTTTGCGGTCACCTATTACGTTGTTGTTCGTTCCAATGTTGCATTCAGTGATGATTTTTAAATGTATAAATTTTAAAGTAAAATAAACCGTCGTCATAGGATACGTGGGATTACGTGTGACTATAGAACCGTGGTATTGAGAAAAAAAAGTTCAGTATTATCAGTTTCCAAAAACAAAGTTTTCTGAAAATGATCACATCAAACTGTTTTCGTAGGTAAAAAAATGTAGGAAATCGGAAACGAGGACATAATTGAAACTGTTACCGACATCTTAATTTTGTGTGATTTTTCCATTTTAAAACCCTAAACAATCTAAAAGACTGAAATTACCCATTATCCTGTTATCGCCTCCGACATTTATTTTTCTTTGAGATGAGTGACTTTCTTTTCAGAATAATGTCTAAACGTAGCCAAATTGGTAGTTACAAAACAGTAAAATGTGAAAGCAATCAGGAAAAGTTATTTATTATTACTTGAACTTTATTGTAGTTAAATGAAGGTCAAATATTGAAGTGATTGAAATATGCCGTGAAAATTCACAACATTATAAAGGTGAAAATTAACAACATATTTAAAGGTGGAACTCTGAATGTTTTGGGGGGTGCCTTAATTATTAGAAGCAGACTAAATTTTTCCTAATTGAATGTTCAAACGAACTTAAGTGAAGTTATCTGAATTATCCTGTTATCGCCGAATAGATTTCGGATCCCGCCCACCCTAATATTTTTACCCCCTAGTTATATAAAATAACATCTTCAATGTTGTCTCTTATTCTTTAAAATATATGAGCATCGAACCGTCGATCAGCGGCGGCGGGTCGTGCTGAAGAAACGGGTTACCTTCCACTTCTTTTACTATGCTCTAAACTATGTGCAGACTGGCTGGTCGTACTGAGGGTACTACATGCAAAAAATCTCTTCGGCGATAGCAGGATAATTCAGATCGAACTTCACTTAGGTAAGTTCGTTTGATCATTCAACTATTCCTAATGATATCCTGAAATTTTATATTCATAAAATCTCTACTTCTTATATCGTATACAAAAAAAATACAAATAAATTTCACACTCACTAGCGAAATTTTAATCAGAAATAAACATTCACTTAGTAGCGAGACTTATGCTCTTTCCATTAATAAATACAAGCGCAATATGACCAAAGAATCTGAGTCATCATCGTGACTCACAATATAGTAAAAGTCGACGGACACAACGGCCTCTTGTTGCAGCCAAATAGACCTCTACGTATAGGTACATTACAATAACAGCTAAAGTACTTGGAACACACCTATATAATATGATTTAAACCTCAGTTAAATTTTTAATGGCAAAAATTGCTCACCAGTCTAAAGTTTTTAAAGCATTTTTAAGAGACTTGCCACGAAGACACAAAGTGTTTTCTCAACAAATGAATATTTTTTATAAATAACGTAATATGAATCATATAAAACATTTAAAAATAATTTAAAACTAAAAGATATATTTTATTGATTATAATTTGAGAAAGCATAGTGTCTTTTGAATTACAAGCGAAATATTTAAATATATAACGATCGTGATTTTTCGTGCTGAATTGCTGGTAAAATGTTATTTGGCTTAGATGTATGGTCTGCGTGGACGCAGAACTTTTGTCCGCGGAGGACCGATGTCTCTGAATCGTGAAAAAAATATCCACTGAAATGGGGATCATCTGCAAAACTGACAATAATTTTAGCCCAGGAAAGGAAACAAAAAATTTTCGCCAGAAAAGGGATCGACCCAATATTATCTTTTAAAACAACTTACCTATTTTCTTAAACGTCATGATAGTTACAACACACAGAATATTTGCTTCCTTATCGTGCGTTTCTCTAAAAATCAGTAAATATTCGCACACCGTGTGCGTTGAGACCAACAACAACTCTTCGATATTATGATATTATATACCACATTTTTAAACGCAAAATTGTCAAAAAGCTATGTAGTTTGACAGTTAGATGTGATAAAAACGTAATATAATTCCTCATTATTAGCGCTATGCTCTTGCTAAGGGGGAGTGACATACACACGTGTACAAAAAAATATTCAAAATATCCGTTACCATTTCAAGCTCCATAGAAGAGAACGGAGACACTGAGGAGAGCTGGCGTCGCATCTCGTTTATGACCAACGAGAACACGCCGTACACAGCGCTGCTGATGAGAGTGCGTGCCAACCGGCGGGACACTTCCTCCTCCATTTCGCCCAGTCCCAAGTACCTGACCTCCATAATGTCACAACAGAGCGACCTCTACGGCACCTACACGGGCACTGGTAGTATGCTGTAAGTATAATATTATTGACGACCTCCGTGGTTGAGTGGTGTTTATGACCAACGCGAACACGCCGTACACAGCGCTGCTGATGAAAGTGCGTGCCAACCGGCGGGACACCTCCTCCTCCATATCGCCCAGTCCCAAGTACCTGACCTCCATAATGTCACAACAGAGCAACTTCTACGGTACCTACACGGGCACTGATAAAATGCTGTGCGTATAATGTTATTGACGACCTCCGTGGTCGAGTTGTATGTCATAACACTGGCTTTTCAGCTGTCACCTACTTTGAGGTCTTGGGTTCGAATCCCCATAAGGGCAAATGTTAGATTATTCCGAATATGACTCGAAATGCTCTTTTTAGTATGATGCCCCTGATGTCGCCCCTAGGGGGACCATCAGGAGAGACAATAGTCCGACATCAAAATTTTCTTTAGATTTATGAATCAAGCAGTTTAATGCTTAAAATAATATAAAGTTTTAATAAATGAATTTTTGAGAAGTAAATTATCACGCAAGAACTATTACTAACTGAAAATCTTTTCATAAAATTTAGATCCATCTTTAGTTAGTTCGTTTTGTATTTTATTATAATAGTTGTAGACTTTCCGATATACTCTTTTTAGCAACACACCTTTACTTATACATGTACCAATTAGTACTGTATAAAAAAGGTGTTTTTGTGGATATAATTATATGTATGGATCGTTACTAACAAAAACACCTTTATTATGCAGGCACCATACTAAGAGGTAATGAAGTTCACCGTAAAAACTACAGAAATATCCATTATAAGTATCCAGCAAAAACTAAACAGGTAGAGTTGAAAGACATATTTTTATGTTATTTTTTTTCATAATTACATCTTAAAACAATTGTTACCTATTTTTAATTTTCTTAACTAATGTCAACTTCTTTTACTGACGCAATAATAAAGAATACTTTGTTTATTTTTATATTTAGCTATTTGAAAACCTGTGCCCTTTTTGCATTACAGATCGCAAGATGACATACAGAGATTGACTCATGCAAACAGTGGACTAAGTCATACGTACCGAAGCAGTGTCTTTGATGACCTGGGAGGGCACGACACATTGTTACTCGATATGGTGCGCGCACGCAGCCGGGAACTGCAAGAGGAAGCATTGGACCAGCCGCTCGATTTGAGGAACGATGAAGATCTCTCCGAAGAGTTCGTTACAACTTTTTCATTTTCGTTTTAACTGGTAGCCCTTCATTGACTCTTAACTTCGAATATGGACTATTTTTACATAACTCCCGCCCCTCTAGTCAAACTCCATAGTAGTCTGACAGTTAATGCCGATATATCGCTTTATCATATCCCGTTTCGGTGGTCATGCTAGAGGGGCTGGATTCGCATTTGAATCACTTTTGACACTAATACACGAATTCTTAGTATCCTTTATGGAAGACTGCAATAACACCATTTAAAGGTATCGTGTTCCAGTAGTAAGTTTGCTAGAGTTTCCAGGTCGGGAAACAAGATTCAAGCCGGAAAATGACCGGACTATATTCCCAAATATATATGTATCTAATAAATAATAATAATAAATAAATATAATTTCTGCTTAGGATAATTTTGAGATAAAATCACTTGCTATCACTTAAACCAAAACCGAGGTCTCGTCAATAAGTTTATTGAGGTTACTTATAATTTGATTAGATATTACTTCGACAACGGAGTAGAATACGGTCCGATCGCCAAGTTTGCTGTTGCAAAATGTCCCCGTGATATGATCAATACTCGTTAGGACCAAGAAACCAAAGGTAGCAAATAAAATTAAATATGTAATAGCATTATCTCTGATGGATCTTATTAATGATATTATGGTAACATCTAGTCCAGTTAGTTCAGCTTACTCAATCATGTGATAAAGGACAAATTGAAAATCTTATCACAACATTAGGAAAGTACGAGTAAGTTACTTCTTTAATTTTTTTTAGTTCGAATCTGATCTTCGTCATATAATTTGAAGACTTAAATAGTTACGGTTCTATGTAAGTGTAGATAAATATAACCCTAATAATTTTGTACCCCAAATACCATGTACACACTTGTGATATGCAATAAAGTTTAAAATAAATAAATAACAAAACTGTTAAGTCATCATAAAAACGCTACAATAAAGTATATTAACGGGAGGGACAAAGACACATTAGTAAAAACGACAGTTTTCTCACTTGACTTTCCCTCTCGATTGAATTACGCCTATTAAATAGAACTTTCACACAGTTTTCTTGTCTCACCTCAATGTGTATTTAAGAATGTTCTGGTGGTATTACTTACATACCAGTTATTATATCATTACAGCGTATTGTCGATCACATAAAATATCTTATGCAATTGAGAATGTAACTGGCTGTTACACTTACATTTTTATTTCATTTAGCAGATACGTATGCATGAACCAAATCCATTGAAATTAAAAAAAGATATATTTAAAAAATCAAAAGACCCGACTGCTGAAATATTAATTAAAATATAAAACTGAAAAGAAAAAAACAAGTCCAGTAGTCTATCATTCTGATAAGTAAGGAACAACTTCACACATTTTTACGCCAATTGAGACCCATTTGTAGCCTTGACTCTGGTAGTAGGTAATTAGATATTCAAGAATGGATCAATTTTGTTTTCAATAATGGGTCCCGACTGTTAAAATAGCTTTGTTCCTTACTTAACAGAATGATTGTTAAACACTATACCCTGTCTGCGCGTCGCGCTTCGCGTTCTTGCATTGCGCAGTCGGGTAAAAACAAAATCATTTTGCAGCCACAGTTAGCTCTTTCCTCCTTTTCCGAGAAGCTAAGGCGGCAATCCTATCTACTGCAGGAACACAATACTATAGAATACAGTGTTATTCTGGCAGTGGCAGGTAAGTGCTCGTATTGGGAAGTCCCCATATGAGCATATCCACACCAATCTAGTGAAAATAGTTCCCTTCCTCTCTTTCAGATAACCCGAGAATCTTGGGCCTAGACGATCATGCAGCATGACTGTGTGATCACGGCATTCGCATCAATCTTTACACCACAGAAATAATATGTGCTTTATACGATCATGCTGTATAACAAGCGTTTACGTACCAATCGATATAACTAAACCCGTTCTGCATGCATGACAACACACAAAACATGTCATACCACCGGTATCATCTTTGTAATACTTAAATAAACTTTATTTCAAGCAAATAGAGATTTAAGAGAGGTAAGGCATAGCGGACTTACCGCGGAATTGGAGCACACGTCTGGGGAAGTGAGCTCCAACTTACCCCCATAGTAAAATAACACTACCTTGTGGTGGTCTTGTGTTTAATTCGGTGAGTAAGGTTCCAGGGTTCCATTGGTAGGGAAATGGGTCAAGGTAGGCAGCAGCGCGTCTATAGTCTATGATGGCCGCTTCCCAATTAGCACACAAGCTGATTAGACTGGTTTTATACAGCTGAAGCCGTCGCCAGCTTCCTTCCATTAAACGTCTGTTATATTGCTGGTTTATACAGCTAGTATGCTAGTTGGGTTAGGTTAGGTTGGGGCCATACGCTTGTTTGCCACCATTTTGACATAAAAGAAAAAATAGGCATTGTATAATATTTTTATCCGCTTTCCAGTGAGATGAGCGAAGCATGCGTCCACGGGCTGAGCATGCGCATGACAGAGCGCAGCGTGTCCCGCTCGCGCGTGTCCCGCACGTCCACACGGCGGGACATGGACATACCTTCCATATTGGCCTTCACCACCACCACTGCACCTCCGGTGAACATTATCTAGTAAACTTTACTATACTTATCAGTTTTTTCTTTAAAATTAGCATTAGTCGATGAACAATGACTTACCCCGATAATACTACGAAAGTATGAACTTTCTTTTTGATTTTGAACTGTTCCAATATTTCCTGACAATTTTCTTTATGAAACAAAATATTTTTTATTGAATCATTATATTGACAATGTTGACTCCTTCGGTGTACTTGATCTAAGAAGTAAACATTACTAGTTTTAACTGATATTCGATTTTGAGCATTAGTCAATTCTAGTTTTAACAAAGGCATTAAGTTAGAACTAGTTTTAACTGTAACATATATATATGTTTATCAAATATACGTATTCTACCGTTACCCGAGCATCCCTTGACACAAGCCTTACAGTGCTTTGGTACTTTTTGGGGCTAAACTAGAATTTGTGTGTTAGAAATATTTATTTATTTCATCCATAAAACAATTTTCATATTTTATTTACAGTACACAATACAGTACTTAATTTGAAGAAAGTCGTATTTTGTTATTAAATAACTTCAATAAATTTCACCTATTACATTGATGGTACTTAATTTCAATAAAATCGTACTTGAATATTTTAACAACTGAGAAATTACAACTACGTGTTGCATTGATGTATTTCAGACACACCTAGGGATACCGGCTTTTACCAAGGCCGAGGCACCACAGCGTGAAGAAATTCCGCGATGGTCGATCCGGCGTTCTGTCTGTCCTGTGTGCTCGCAGAAGTGGAGGGATAAAAGCTCTATTTCGAACATCAAGTATTCTGGTATGGTTCTTATTTTTTTTTCATCGCACCTAGCAACTTTCGTTAAAATAAGCTAAAACCCATAAATATGCAAATCTTTTAAGTAAATACTTTTTGACATGCACTTTGTTTTAAGTCCAAATAATATTGTTTTTTTTTTTCTTAAACATGTTTAATTGTCCATACTAGTCTAGTCATAAACTATCCAAAAATAAACGAGAACCTGTAATTTCAATATTCTGAGTAGCTATCTCAAAGATTTCTGAAAAATAGGTCAAGTAAATGCCAAAATTCAAAGATACAGTAATTAGGTTTGAATTTGGGCACAAATAATAACGCCGAGCTTGGTCTACTTTTATGCGATAACAGCTTGAGCTTTTAACACAAGGAATCTTTTTTCATAAATTGAACCAAACTCAAGCAAATATCGCCAAAAAGTAGCAGGCCAAAAACTTCTACGATTACCCTACAGGTCTCAAAAGAAACTCTTCTGTTGAGTTGCCATCTGTTACCGCACCAGCTCGTCTGAGAACAGCTATCACTATGGGATAGTAAGTTACTTAATATCTTCAACTTTTACTTTAGACAGCAGTTCACTACCTTCCAAATCTTGATCTTCCAAAACGCCTTACCTGCTCACATTTTAGGAGAAGAAGTAGCCTTAGCCGGCTGCAAGGTTATGTCAGACTTACTGACTAAAAGCTTCATCTGAAGCGATCATCCCCTGAGAAGCAATTATCTTATAACAAGAATTTTCAAGCTCCTTGCACTGCCCACGCAAACTGGAAAATGTTTCATAATAATAAAAACCGTCCATATATTTTCCATTATATATTTATTTTTTCTTTTTATCAAACTAATTAACGAGCGTGTGTACCATGCAGGATATTTACTATCGTCATGAATTACTCGTGACGGTATATACAAATCTATACAATAAAAGTTTGAAGAACTTAACGCCTATTGCTCTTAAAATTAGAAATCTATCTTAACCGTTATAGTTTTTTTAAGCATGTAACTGCTTGATGTTTAAATGTAAAGAAAATATAACTAGCAAAACTATAATTGTTATTTCTTCTTTCCAATGTTTAATACTTGTAAAAGTATTCATTTTACATTGTGGGTTACCTACAATGCGAAAAGATGGCGCTGCCTTGCAGCTTAAGAATGGCTAGAAGAATTTCGACGCGGCCATCAGGGCCGCGGTATCATAATTGGTCAGTGCATTCGCCCGGATAGCGAAGGGTGCGGGTTCGAGTCCCGTCTGCTGCCTGGTCCGCGTTATAGTTTTCCTTAAAAGTTCATGAAAAGCACTATAATTATGATTCTTTCCAGGTTTTGCAAGCCAACAGATCAGCTTTTACTCGATCAAAAATTAGTACCTACTTTAAAGTTCAATATTTCGCAAACGGATTCGTAAATCGAAAAATAGTCTTAGGAACCCCTAAATAATTTCAAAGGATCTATTCAAGGATATGCCTCACGATGGGATAGATGATGAAAAAAAAAATCATCCCCAGACTACATGTAGGGGAGCTTTCAAATTGTATTCTACTATTTTGTTGGCGTGATCGATAAACATATCCTTACAAAGTAACAGCTCTCTAGTGCAAATAGTCTCCAAGCAAAACCGGGAACGGAAAAACGGACATGACGAAACTACGAAACTATAAGGGTTCCTTGTCAGGACTACGGAACACTGAAACGGTTAAAGGAGGACTGCACTAGACAACTAGTTAAGAACAACTGATAAATGAGAGATAACATATTTCATAACATTTTGATCTTCTTTTACTCCAGTGTACCTCGTCCAGCGATGGCAGCTATGGATCGCGAAGCAGGCGTGACAAATGGTGGGCTACGCAACTCCAGCGCCACCTGGCAGCTGACACGAGCTCGCCGTTTCCGCACCCCCAGACCGCAGCTACCCTCGCCCGAAGCCACCGCGCCTCCCACGGCCGCCGCGCCCCTCGCACAGAGAGACCTCGACATACGCGTCAATCGATTCCTCACTGACATGAACGTGAAAGCTTGCTAGAAAAATTAACAATTTTCCAGTCTGGTCACTGCACGATTCGTAACACTGATGGTTAAATTAGCCTCTTGAAACTAGTACCTACTTTACTAAACTGTAGCTACTTTTATATAATATACTTAAATGTCCCTAAAAAGCATTGTTTTATTCCTATTGTTAAAATTTCCTATGATCATCCACTGCGCCTCCCATGGCAACCACGCCCCTCGCGCAGAAACCCCTCGACATATGCATCAGTCGTTTTCTCGCTGACATTCGAACGTGAATGCTTGCTGGATAAATTAGTAATTGCCAATCTGGACACTGCAGGAATCGGGTTAACTAGTAGGTGTACTTATATTGAGCCACACCGTTTATTAAGCCATATAATTGACACTTTGTAGCAAGAGCTGTAATCGATGTGGTGCACGCCTAGTGTCGTGATCGTGATCTTGACCACCAAATGTAATTAATAAGGATAAATTCAGTGAATCAAAGTCATCATAGCAATGCAAGTATTGTTGGTCTTGACGGAAACAAAGTAAACTTTAGGAAACGATGTCGTTATTGGGCCTAATGAATTCTTTGTTTCAATGTCTAACGGAAAAGGGATAAGATAACCATTGTATCCATTTCCTATATTCGCCTTTACCTGCGGCTTCTTCTTCACTACACTTCTGCGGCACTGCCCGCACTTCAGACATTGAACCGAACTAATGCAACTTTTTATAGTTTGGTGATTAGTACCGGCAGTGGCGTAGAAGCGCTATAGATGTTTTACGGGCGTAAGTCGTCTCTTAAATTATGTAGTTTTCTCTCAAAAGGAATCTGCAGCAAAAGCTTGCGAGAAGCCAACTCAAGAGTATTCTCTTCGTCTCGAACTTGCGGCTTTAACTACCTATCTTGTCCAAATCTTTTAAGTCGTTTTTGCTTTGATCTTATTTCTTTATGTTAGCACCCTATAGCTAGAAATCTGAGTGACCGAGACATTGAACAGAAAACGTAAAAGGCGCTACTTGATCCAAGATGCGGTTCCAATCATATGCATGACATTCTACTAGTTACACAATATTGCAAGATCCAAGTTTAAGATATCACATTATTGCATGCTTAAGTCAGTATTTATCATATTCACATGAAATTAATACTTTAATATCATGATATTACCAAGTAAATAATTTTACATTCTCATTAACAACAATTTATTTATGTAAAAAAATATAATTTAGTAGGTATACAAAACATACATAGCACAGATAAATTTAACATCATCAAGGTAAGGTAAAATCAAAAACATAATTAAAGGTGGAAAAGGCTTCACAGTGAACAGTGTTTCGAATCGCATACACAAAATTCTTTAGCTCCAAAGGTTCATACAATGGAGCTATAACTTTACCAATAACCATTAACTGTATTAAATCATTGATCATTATATCTTTTTCTACAGATGTAGCATTTTTATCCCAGTCAGACAAATCAAATCTGCAGAAAGTTGTATCAGACCGTAAAAATTGTTTTGCTAGAGGCAAGTCGAAAGAACAACCATAGTAAACGATTACACCATTGCGATTAAGTAATTTCAGCATTACATCTTCATATTTACCACCCAAGCAGTTTAATGCCAAAACTGGTCTACTCAGTGACGTATCGAAAGTTGTCAGCTCTTCAGCCTCTTCTAGGGTGTACACTGCGGTGGCTCCTAGCGTTAATAAATGCTTTCTGACAGTTGCATAATCACAATGACTGGCTACAATATTTATAGTATTAATACCCCACGCCTTACACAGTTGGATTACTACTTGACCACATGGGCTATTGGCTGCGTTCTGAATTACAGTTTCGCCAGGTTTTACAGTTAGAAAATCTTTTAGCATCCTATAAGCGACGCATGGTGCTATACTAAGCATAGCTGCTTCTGGTAGTGGTAAAATTGGAGATATTACGTGAACATTTCTTTCGTGATACACTCCATAGTAACGCCAAGTGCCTTGTTTTCTAGAAGATAAGATAACTCTTTGTCCTGGCTCGACTGTACACACTCGCTTGCCGATTTCTACAACTTCACCGACCCCTTCGTCGCCTGGAATAGCGGGCAAGCAAGGCCTTAAACCCTTTCCTGCAATAAAATATAAAAAATAAATGTGCGACTCGAATTCCGATGTATACCTAGTAGTAGGTAGGTAGCGTAGTTACACTGAAAATTTTGTGAACATCATTAAGGGAGCGGGAGTCCAGTTTCTAGGATCTTTAGAAGTATGCTTAGGGTGGTTCTTACGGTGAGGATGAAAGGGGTGAAAAATAAAATTCGATAAACTGGCGTGGTTTTTGTCGGTTCACTGTACATACTAAAAGCCTGAAAGGACTTATAAAGAGATTTCGCTCTCTTTTATGTATGCTTGCCTTTAAAAGTTCATATATATGCAAATTATGTGGAAGAAGTCAGGGTTCAGTCTCATGACTAGCGCTCAAACATGTGCCCAGCAAAAATCAACATTCTATAGAATGGTTAAATTCAAAGTTTTGATTTATCTTTAAAAACGTCGCCTAGAGGAAGAGATGAGGCAAAGAAGCAAGTAGTGGCATTGCTTATATTTTTACAACAGTATTATTCTTTTATTTCACAAATTCCATACTGTGAGACAGTTTCACTATCATAATGTTACAAAAGTAAAGCAATAATTACACAATAATATAACAACTTGTACTGACAGCTTTATTTAAATATTTTATTATATTTATTATAGTTTCTACTTATAACAATAACACTAAGGACTAAAGTCTAAAATATATTTACAACCAGTGAATCCCTTTGAACTAAGAGCATTTCTCAAAGCTTCTTCATAATTGTCAAACTTCACCATTTTATGGACAGGACCTTTCAGTTTGTTTTCACACATCATTTTGATAATATCTTCTGACATTTTGTCTTTTTCAGATTGTGATGCCTTTTCATTCCATGCTGTCATCCAAAACCCATGAAATGAAAGATTTTTAAAAATAAATGCGCTTGTTGGAATATTAACTGGGTCTCTTGACATACCCCCATATGTGACCATTTTACCAGAATGCTGCAAATGTCTTAACATTTCCAAAGCATTCTTTCCACCAACACAGTTAAGTGCTAACAAAGGTTTTTCAATTTTCTTTTCCTTAAAAATGGTTGTAGAACGCAACTCTTCTTCTGTTAATACATAAGTTGCACCCAAGTTTTCAAGATACTTTTTCAGTTCATTGATATCAGGTCGGTTTCTTACAATATTTATGTTTTTGATACCCCACACTTTACAAATTTGGATGACATTTTGACCACATGCACCATTGGCACCATTTTGAATAACCACCAAGCCATCGCTCACAGGTACAAAATCTGTAAGCATTCTATATGCTGTACATGGATTTACTGTCAAAGTTGCTGCTTCTACAGTCCCTAAACCATCAGGAACAATTCTTAAACAGTCTTTACTAAAGGCAGCAATGTCTCTCCAAGTGCCTTGTACTGGTTTTGTTAAAATGACTTTATTACCAGGGTGAAATCCCTCCACATTCTTCCCAACCTCCTGAACAACGCCGACACCTTCATTACCAGGAATACACGGCAAATCTACTTTAACAGGATACTTTCCTTAAACAAAATATATGAAAAATTAATTTACATTTTTGATGCTCATGGTAAATCAAAAAGAAAGCAGTTTGAATACCTTCTAAATCTTGTTTAGGTAGGGATGGTAGTTTGACTGTCACTGACAAATTTCTTTATCTATAAAATTTTTGCTTTACTATAATCATTGGTACCTTGTATGGTGTTTATGTCAGCCGGGTTCACCGGTGCAGCCAACATTCGGACTAACACTTCCTGGTTACCTAGCGGCGGTACAGCACATTCTCTAAACTTAACTACTTGCAGAGGATCTCCAAATTCCTTATAAACCAGTTGTTTTGACATCAGATTTCTAATATTAATTTTAACATTCGTTGAGAACAGCTTTGGTGTGACTAATCTAGAGAATGGTAAAAGTGCCATGGTTTGATAACAAATGTTCAATTTTTTTATTTCTTTAATTCTTTAGGAATTTGTACAGTTTCTTTACGGCGAATTTGTTGAAGTATAGTGACATTGATTGACGTTTGTATCGTCTGACGATGATGAAATGCAGTGTGACCATATTAAATTTTACGAAAATACCGAGGCATCTCAAAAAAATACTGAAATATACCGACTTACATAGGACAGATATACCAATAAAAATACTGATTTTCTTAACACATTTTATTTATTCATACTCACAATAAATGTTAGAGTTATATTTTAACATCCTTTTCGAAGGATTAAAATTTACACAACCTCCTTCATTTCTTCACGCTCTATCTAATAGTGCAAACCGCATTAAAATCGGTCCAGCAGTTGTAAAGTTTTAGGCGAACATACATTCTGCAAGTCTGATTAATACTATGTATTGATTGATAATTTTATATGTAGTATTACAATACTACAACGGCCGTCTTTCTTGTCATATCTGTAACTTACTCATAGATAACATGCATAAGTATAGGTAAACTAAATCCGGGGAAGTCCCCCGGGAATTCCGCAAACATTGTCGCAAAGACGATCACTCACTACGGTGGTGCCATAACTTCTACCAAAATATACCCAAAAATACTGACTGCCAGCAATATACCTGAAAATATACTGAATTTCGGAAAAATCGATGAAATATACTGAAAAAGTATTAAAATACTGAATCTGGTCACACTGATGAAATGTCATGGGGCGATAGCATTAACATGATACATGGCATGATCAAAGACGGGCATGATAAACCTGCATGGACGTACTATATAAATAGGAGTAATTACCATAAGACTAAAATATTACCGTATTACGGAAATAACGGGCCCATTGATAGATATAGAACGGAGGATTTTATCCCTAGCATACAAGTTTATTTAAGCCCGTCACAGACGTAGCTATAATATATATTAATATATCGAAATATATATTATATTATAGCAAACTACCACAGACGGGAGCTATACTATAATATATATTTTGCCCTCACTCGGTCTGCGGTCGTTTTTGCAAGCGCACGGTTTTAAAGCTTATTTTCTAGCACAGGGTGTTTTAATTTTGAAATAACGTTATGATCAATCTTACCGAAATTAATTCGACAAGAGCACTACTTTTAGATTTAATTGAAAGTTCCTCAAAGGATGATTCCGATGCTGAATTTGATATGCATGTTGCCTTGTCAGGAACGAAAAATAGAACCATCTGGGTAGCGTCGCATATAAAACAAAAAAAAAATGGTTGCCTGTAAAGTCGGTTTTACGGGCGAAGATTTTACGTGACAACGTCTTTTTCTCGGTAGAATATTTATTGATATGAATATAATTAAATTGCACAATAGGAACAAGGAATTGAATGAAAATAAGAATTGCACAAATTTTAACTATAGAAATATATTTTGTTTACTAAAACATTGTACATGTAAACTTAAACTTAACACGAGAGACTCATCGTAACGTTACCGAGCGTTACACTTTTTCATAAGTGACTCCCAGCCGCAACCTAATTTAAGACGTTGTCACGTCAAAACTTGTGGCGAATTTAATTTGTATCGTGATTTGTCATCCAATAAAGGAGATTGCTCAAATTGGCCCAAATGCACAAAAAATATTAACATGTACGGTAATTCTTGGCGTAATTTATACTTTATTTTACATTTTAACGGACACCTTTGTATAATATATTCATTTGAAAAAGGACTTTTAATTTTACCGGTTTGGAAAACATACGAATATATATTCATTTTTAATGGCTATTCGGGTGTAGTAACATTCAGCCAAAGACTGATCGAAGTTGTTTAAATAACATAAAATCAAATCTATTTTGTAAAGATCGATAAAAAATATCATTTTTTTATTACACTGTGGTATTAATATCCATAACTATAGTATCATTTTCACTACATGCAAATATGCTAAGACAATAGGCTAGTTTACTCATGTCGAATTCTATTAAATAAATGTTTATTTCTTAAAGTATTTAGTCTAAGGAACCGTAATATATCGATTTCACTTCATAAAAGCAGAAGATTGCTGTAGAAATTTAATTTTTAAAAAAATTTTTTAGTCTATATTTTTTAAACACTAAAAACGCTGTTCGCCACATCCGCCATGATTTTGACGTCTCTTCTGGTAAACAACTAAATGTCATTCGCGTGTTACTGTAGGTGGATTCTTTCGTCTGACTAAATTTATCTTAAAACACTTTTAACTTTAGGCAAAAAAAAACAGTTAACTAAGTTTTTTTTGACAAACCTAATTATGGATGCCGGCTTTGTGAAAGCAGAAATCACAAATCTGCCAAGAATTGACGCATTGATGGTTGGTGAATTTGTTCCACTAAACACCGATTTCTGCTCTGCGGAGCAGAGAAACGACAAGGCATCTATGTAAGTACAGTGCATTTAGTATTAGAATGTAGTAATAAACATAAAACTGATACAACATATGAATAAGTGTTATAAAGTTGCGTAGGTCAATTTCTTTCGGCACTTTAATCCACAACTTTCCTGGAGTCTACAAGGATGTGTTTTTATATTCTCGTACAATACAGTAATGATAATTACTTTATTTTTCGAGGTATTTATTAGAAATCATGTTTTTTTTATTATAAACTCAGTTAAAAGTAATTTTCTACGTGTTTACGAGTTTTTGTTTACCAGAGTTCACGTCATAGCATAGATAATCTATAGACTAAAATGGCCGACAGCGTTTTTGTATGTCCATGAAAAGTCTATTTTAAAATTAAAGATTTGTAGCTTTCTAGGTTTAAAAAAAATACAATACATTTTTTTTCGGTCTAATAGAACATTTATTAACCATTTAAAACCTTTTTCCAAAAAGGGTCAACTAGCCTATTATTATAGATGGTAGGCGACATCATAAAATCTATTGCCATACATTTTTCGCCAAACACCTCCATAACCACATTATAAGGTGTGATACACTAAAAATCTAAAATATGGTTATAATATAAACATAACAAAAATAATGAAGCTACTGAAGATATGGCGGTATAACCTAAATCTTTCTTTGGTTAACGAGAGTTTAAAAATTCTCTCTAATCTGTGGCTCATTCACTGTTTCTGTCACAGAGTACCTTCCTTATTATAACCGGAAATGCATAGATGATACCTGACTTTAAAAGTTACTCTTCTGCATTAACTTTTAAACACACAACTATCTGTTAATCTACATGCTCTATATACCTGAATCTAATACATAATTTCGGTACTTGGCTTGATTTCCCTAGTTTACTATATAACTTATTTGTTTTTTTATTAGTTTAATACGTACCTATTTGCAAACATAACCTCAAAATTGTTCAGTGTATAAGGTTTATAGAAATTCTCAGGGGTGTCCGTCAATAATATTCGTTTCTACAGTAATTTATATATAATTTCGAATCTAGGAAACAATTTTTCATGATTATTGGTCTTTAGGCCAAACATGTATGGAAGCTGAGCAATCTCCTTTGCACAGTATTTTAGGAGAGGGAGGGCGAAAGAGAAATGCTCGTGCGCGCTTGAGCCGGAGATCGCGCAGGCGTTCAGAGAAAAGTTGAACATTCTGTATTAAAAATATATACTAATATAACAAAATATATCCCGTCAGAGACGTAGCTATAATGTATATTAATATATCGAGATATTATATTAAACAAACTACCACAGATGGGAGCTGTACTATAATATATATTTTGGCAGGCGTTCGGTGAGAAATGGAACATCCCGTATCATAAAAATATATCAAAATATATATTAACATGGCAAAATATATATTAACATGGCAAAATATATATTAATATGGCAAAATATACACTAATATGCCAAAATATATCTGTCGACATATTTTGGTGATGTCATAGAAATATATATTATAGCTGCGTGTGCGGTCACTCGAAAATTTATATTGAAAATATGTTGTAATATGCCTTGCTATGATTCATATTAATATATATTATAGCTACGTCTGTGACGGGCTTTATTATTTTGGCGAACGCATTAATCCGATTTGGAATTTATTTTAGTGTTGGGTAGGACACTACTTGAAAAAGAGTTTGTAAGAGTAGCCTCTTTTTTGTACTGAGCCAGTACAATGTCCCACTTCAAATGAGGCGAGGCGTACTGAAGCTCGGCAATACATTTGAAGTGACGAGTACAAATATGACATTGAGGCGTACAGAAGCTCGACATTACGTTTGTGTGCACGATTAGCACCTCCTCTACGCACTATCAATCTTGATGGATCCAGCATGCAGGACAGCGCTATACACGTAAAAGAGATAGAGATACAGATGGATAGTGCGTAGAGGACTTAAATAAAATGTTATGTCTCGCTCTCTCTCTCAGACTTACGAAGAGTGAGTGAGTAACGAGACGCGACTATCGCGACATTTAATGTGAAGTAGTACATTTTAAAATTTTGAGCCGCTCTTACATTTTGATGCCATGTCCGGGACAAATGTACCGCCTCTTGTAAGTCCTACTCAACACTAATTTATTTTGGATATGGCAAGAATGATATGTTGTCAGTTTGATAGCATTGATTGGAAAGGGCGGGAAACGTTGAAGTAGGCGGGCGCGTTTTTACCTTTGAAATTAATTTTATTAAAATTTAATTGTTTTTCAACCAGTTGAGTAGTGTAGTTATATTTAATTGTATATTTATATTTGTGTAGTGTATTTTTAGTTACTTCATCGCCTGGTAAGTCAATATAATATATACAATGAAGGAACCCCCTGACCCGGGGGGATCCATTTTTAATACAGAACAATTTGCGGTTCCCTCTGTCGCTTATAATGTGACTGTTATGAGTCAAGGCGAATCAAGTGTAGATACTGACCAAACAGTCAATACTAAAGTAGATTGGACTGCTCCGCCGACTAGGAAAAGGAGTAAATGTATTAAAATATGCAAAACTTGTAATAAGAAAAAGCGGAAAAACAAAATGGCGGGAAAGATAGGATGTCTCTGTGTAGATTCTGAAAGTTCTATCGAGTCTGCTATTACTAATCATAAACAAACGACCCCTCATACTGTACCCCCATTAAAAGGGAATAACATAAGTCAGCCTCAACCTG